GCTTCAGCAGACGCATGCTGTTTTGTTTTGGAAGGCAACCTCAGTCATGTGGGTAGCAGTGCCCGCAAAGGCACAAGCCATAACAGCTTCATCCTATGTGCTGGTCAACAAGCCGCCTCGTAGCAAGTGCTCGCATATGCGTCACTACAGAACGCCCATGCGTAGCAGCTTTGAAACCTTAAACAGTTAAACTAAAGAAAAAATTGTGAAACTGAAACTGCTGCAGAATGATGCGTTGAGTGATTTCCTTTAAAGACAGTCTTAGTGAAGCAAGGGTCATGCAGTGACCCTCATGAACAAAAAGCAACTTTACACAAAGTTGTACTTGCAGCAATTTAGATCTGCTTCAAAAATCAAATAAACTTTGGTCTAAAGTTGATATTTGTAGTATTAAAATCACAGAAACAGAAATTATTAATGTTTTCATGGTACAAGATGACTGATTAATAAGGGAGTATGTAATCAGTTCATCAACATCTTATTATCAATCAAATAATTTGGATAAATATAAAATTAACAGCTTTCATAACTTTCCAGTATTACAAGGTGGTCAATGAGTCAGTGTGGTTTAGCATGACTTTAGCTGAATTTTTAGCCGAAACTGCCAGTTGCTTAAGAGAAACTACTATATAACAGAAACTCTCTTAGTCATGTAATGTGGGATTTTACATCAAACTCTACATTTAACTTATGTAAAACTTATACAACTAACATAAAATATATACAGAAGTGAAAGTAAAGGTTCAATATTACAGTACTTATACATTAAAAAACTTCAGATTTCAGAAAAACAGAGTATAATGATTACTGTTAGTAATGTTGAGATCAGACTATAAATCAATCTGTAAAACAATTCAGTTAATCAGAAATGCTGTATATTTTGAATAGTTGTACAATTTAATTAAAGACTATAGATATTATACTAGAAAAACCTTTAAATTGATGATTTATAACTAAGAAGCTGACATTCATTAGACAGTTTCATATCCTGATACAGGGCAGTTTCATATTTAATGTCTCAGAACATGAATCTATCCATATGCAAATGAATCTCAGAACAAGAATCGATCTATATGCAAATGAATCTCAGAACATGAATCTATCCATATGCAAATACTTTCAACTGTCAAAAAGGAAAAGTAAGAAAAAAACACCGGTGTGAATAATATATGTTTTCGATGTGGGGCATTTCAGTATATTTACCTCATAAATCCCTTTTTAGCTTTGCCCTCAAAGCTCCTTACCTCTGCCCCCCAATGCATCACCAATTCAAACCTCGTCATGGGGCTATGTCTGTGTACTCACGACACGTAAGTGCCATTGTGCTCATGAGAAAGCAAGAATAAATGTGGCCTGATCTCAGTCAGATGTCCCGATCTCTTCTTCAGCTCCCTGTTTCTCTCGAGTCTTCTGTAAAAAGGCAAAAAAAAACAACCTGTCATTCAATAAAAAATGGTGGGAATTATAAAAAAAAAAAAAACATTTCTCAAAATATTTTATGTTCCACAGAAGAAAAAGATTTGGAACAACATGTGGGTAAATAATGTAAAAATTGTCATTTTTGGGGTAAACTATACCGATAATAATGCATCTTCCTATATGTATGTGAATCATTGTTGCACTATTTTTCACTTTCTGTCTTTTCTTTATGCATTAGAGCTGTATTTAGCCAGATTTAAAAAAAGGAAATTTAGCTGAAACATAAACCATTTACTGACAATAATCAAAACAGGCCAGCGGTATGCTGATCATCTGAATAAGTCATAATATGCTTTCTCAGAGCTTCTGTGATAATCTACAGGAGTGGTACAGGAATTAATCACCTATGGGCAAAATTTATATTGATAAATGGTCAGTTGACTTACAATACTATATTATTAGTCAAAACACACACATACACACACACAAAATCAATCATGATAAGAACATGATGATCAAATCTCTCTCGGTTTCAGGCTTTCCACAGGATGAATGTTTTGCTACTCAAATGCGTTCAGGCAGCACATTGTAAATTCCTTTGTGTTTTTATCCATAGGCCCTCCATTACGTTCGCTGTCAGTAATCTGTGCCTGTCTGTGAGTCTAGTGTAGATCTTACCTCAGCCGCTCCGGAGAGAAAAAAACCACCAATTTTGCATCATGGGTTGGGCTTACCCTGCTAGTCTTCATGCTAAAGCATGATTTGAGGTACAGCCAGAAATGATTGCATACATGGTGTAATAGTAAGTCATGGAACAGGTTAGCTTACATTACTCAGTTAATGACAACTAATGAAATTCCATAGCATTCACTAATTTCTTGTAATAGCCTGCACTAAAATAAAATTCAAGGAATGTAAAGCATTTTTTATCATTGCATTTACTGTAGTAGTGTTAGTAAAATAAGAAGCAGCTTTCCATAGGCTCAGCTCACTGCAATGGCTCAAACTGGCTTTAACTTCAACAAAGAGTACAACAATGGACAAATGTATAATGGTTATCAATGATTTATAATCATTAAACATGGCAAGAGCTACAATAAGAGCAATGTCTGATACTTCATACTTGAAAGATGAATTGAGTCCCCTGTCTGAAATGTCAAAAAACAATGCCAAAAAACTACAGACACTGATAATTGGCCTTGAGATTTCATATATTTGGGTTGAATAAAATGTATATATTTATATCTGGTTGATTTTCAAGCCATTGTATGACACTTCACAATGGGAAATCATTCGCTAAATGTAGTTTTGTTGGTTATGAAACATGTAGTTCCACTTATTGTGAGTGTTTGTGACATTTTCAACTTAATATGACGAGTCTGTGGTGAACTGTAAAATATGCAGAAGCAGAAAAAGTGTGTTGTCTTTTGGTGACATAACATAAGTCTATGCTTTAAGTGACACTTAATTTCATGAGATCATCTTCAGGAAAGAAGAAGCCTGACCTAAAGGTATACTATAGGTATACTTGACCTAAATATATATTTATTTAAATGACTTTGTGTAGCGTTTACTGGTCAAGTATTTGCTTAGTCAGCTTGATTTTGACTGAAAACAAACAATATTTCAGCGAACACTGTCTCTCTCAGACAGAGATTTGTTCACACTTGGTGTTTACAAACCATGTACATCACATTTAAAAAGTGCCGTAATGTTTTATTCTTACATGCCTACATCCAATAAATTGAATTAAAAAGGAAAAAGAGAGTACATTTTACAGCTTTCTTAAGTAATTATTAAATGCTTTCTTAAGTCAGCTAATCTGGGTAACTAACACCAGCACTACTTACATGTCTTGTATAACACTGCTCTCTCTTGTTTCATACAAACAAAAAATTGTAGCAAGAATGACATCAGAGGACTTCAATGTTAATATTACTGTAATATTGTTGTTGCAGTGTTTGTCTTGTTGCTAGGCCATTTGTTTTGTATACTGTGATGGACTATTTTTTCTTAATGGAAGCTTTTAGATAATATACAGGTAAAATAACATAATTGCAACTCAAATCAATATTTTATATTTCGCCATATTTATTTATTTGAGTAGCTGTGTAATAGGAATAATACTGTATCCAAGAGAAGACAATTTGACCATGAGCTGATTTAATTTTGTCACACTTGAACATGGATCACACACAAAAAGAAAATGTGTCTATTCAAAGACTTTATTTGGTTGTAATAAAATAACAAAAAAAAAATTCTTCCCTCAGGTCAATTTTACCCACCATAGGAATTAATGGGATGTCTGAAAAAACAGACATTAAAAAAACAAAACAAAATATGACACAATCCAGAAAAGATTTATAACCAAACGAAGGGCTGAGACTACAGAATATTCCTAAGGCAGAAAACACTCATATACCCCCCCACCACCACACACACAAACACATATAAACACATTGTAACACGAATGATTAAGGAAAATAAGGTAAATAAAATAAAAATCACCTGAAAATATTTTTTTTTAAAACTACATAAACATTAAGAAAAAATATAGGAATGGATCAATATAAGCTTTCTGGGCCAAAAAAAGTGTCATTTTTACCCTTTGGGTCATTTTGACCCGCGAGAAACACTTTTTTTTTATATGAGGGAAGGGACGGATGAAGGTTAATTTCATATAAGTTGTAAGAGGCCAACAACTTGAGTTGAGTTTCAGGAGAAAGTCTGGCGTGCATTATTTTAGAATCAATGGAGCCGGGGTAAATGTGAAAGGTATTTGTGGTTTAGAATACCAAGGAGTTATTTGTCACCCAGAAACCACACTGGACCCCTTACAATCATCTCTGTATGTGTGAGTTTACGCTCACCTGTGAGAGTTGGCTCAATGCACATACAGGGCTTTCACCATCTGCGTAAAAAGAAATGTCAGAGATGAGACGTCTATTCAGTTCACTGCTTCTGTCTGAGAAACTAACAGAAGATTCCCGCAACTGGCAAAAAAAACACAAAAAAAAAAACGGATAAGGTTAAATCATATAAGGACAATTAAATTATATATTTTTAATTACTAACTAAGTTCATTATTTCTTCATTATCCAAAATTCATTTACAAAGATGAACTGCAAATTAATCTATTATCTTTGATCTATTTTGGTAAGTGGATTGATAGATAGAACAATATAATAATAGATAGATAGACAGACAGACAGACAGACAGACAGACAGACAGACAGATAGATAGATAGATAGATAGATAGATAGATAGATAGATAGATAGATAGATAGTCAAAATGATAAAAGCATTTGATTGCTGAATTAACCATCCAAGTTAAATTTTCCTATAACTTCTTTATTCCAAAAACAGAAAGAAAAAAATGTTTGTGAACAAGGTGATGACACAGTGTAAAGACAAATTGCCAGTAAGTCAACACCCCCCCCCACCCTCGCCCCACCACAGAAAGCTAGATAGGAATTTTCTGGGGTATAAAATAACGGCACCCCAAAGCTAATCTTCACATCTCCTCTATTGAGGGCTGAATATCAAAAAAGAATCAAGAAGAAAGAAAGAGGATTGAAGAATGATTTTCACTGGAGTCATCCTTTCTGCTCTGGTCATGCTTCTGCTTTCTGACAGTGCTCAGTGCAAAAGAGTCGACTGCAAGTCTGACTGTTGCTCATTTGTGGAGGGCTTTCCTGTGAGACTGAAGGAGCTCCGTTCTGCATATAGAGAAATACAGAGGTTTTATGTAAGTATATTTAGACTGATTTCCAGCTCAGATACATTGAATGAAGTCTGAACCTTACAAATCCCAATCTACAAGGCATTTTTGCTTTATTTCATGCTATATTGAGGTTTGAGGTTCTCTCTAATGGGTTTTTGTTTGCATTTGTTCTCCTCAGGAGTCCAATGATGACTTGGAACCATTATTAAATGAAAATGTGCAACAGAACATCAATGTAAGTACCAAACTCCATTCATCTACTCCCACAGTACTATAGCAGCAATTATTCAAATTTAAAATTAGCAACAGCAGAAGTAATCATACTGAAACTGAAGGTTTTGTGCAAGACGTGTGCAAACCAAACTAAAAGCTCGCCAAACATCTTAGATCTGCACATTGCTACAGCGGTGCCATAGCATGATAACCGTGGGTGTCTGAAACAGCTCATAAAGGATCAATCTCATATATGATCCACAGAGTCCTCATGGATGTCACATCATGAATGAGATCCTGCGCTTCTACTTGGACACCATTCTGCCAACAGCTGTCCAGAAGAACCACTTGCACTCCACAACACCAATTGACTCCATAGGAAATATATTTCAGGATCTCAAGCGGGATATACTGAAATGTGTAAGTATGTCATTTGCTCATTAACATATAAAATATGTTTAAAGGATGATAAATTTGGTCTCACTGATGTGATTACTTTCACAATCAGAGTAAACGTTTCCGTCCTGGTGACAAACCAGCTGACTTACCAGCCTAACCAGGCTGGGAGAACAGCAAAACAGTTTAGGCTGGTATTTGGATGTTTAAGCAGGGAACTTGTTAAAATTAGGTTGCTAAAGTTAGGATGTGTAATGTTAGGTTGGTGACCGTTATTTTTTGAAAAACGTAGTTCAGGCATCTTTAGGATGTCGAAAGAGTGCACATATGTAGAAAGCCTATGTGGCTATTTTTTTTGGCAAGAGCTGTTGCAAATCGATCAAAATACCTAGAGCTTGTTGTGCAACGGTATGGTGAGGCAAAGAAGGTGTCTTTAACATTGCAAATTACATGAAATAACACACGTCTCTCTATGTTACAGAGGAATTACTTTTCTTGCCAAAATCCCTTTGAGTTCGCCAGCATAAAGAACTCGTATGAAAAGGTAAGTCTTATACAGCAACTTAATGCTAATAAAAGTATCATGTTACATCATCAAAACTATTTTCTACTCTAAGATTACTTGAAATTATTAAATTATGTTTGAAAGCTGTTCCCAAGGTTGACAACATCTTTTTCTCTTTAGATGAAGGAAAAAGGCGTTTATAAAGCCATGGGAGAGCTTGATATGCTCTTTAAATACATCGAGCAGTATTTGGCAGCAAAGAGAGTCAAGCACTAATAGGATGTCACACTGGATTAGATTCTGGCCATGATGACTTGAGTCAAGTCTGAAATAATGAAGAAATAATGAAGAATAATGTAGAAACAATGGACAGATCAAGAACATACTGTAGGATATGGCACAAATGGACTTCATCCTTTAATTTATTGCTTGCACATCACCATTCCATCACACTACTTTATGATGCATTGGAAAGCCTTCCTCTTCGCCTTCAGTTTCTGGATGTCACTATGGCAGTGTTTTAGATTGAGCTAAAACCATAAATTGATGTTTAAGTCACATTGACCAGGGTTATTTAAAAAAAATAGTTGCATTTTGCCAACTTGCTGAAATAACTTGAAAGTGTGTAATAACTTGTTATTGTGTAAATACTGATATTTATGTAATGAATTTTATTTATTTTATTTTATGAGCTCAAAAGTTAATTTATTGTTAATTTCATATATTTCTGATGCTTATTTTTAATTTGTTACAGAAAAGTGTCATCAATAAATTATTTTAACTGAATAATGCAACAAACATTTCCTTTTTTGGTTAATGTGGTTATTTGTCTTCCTCGTGTTGACATGAGTTCATTCTGGTCTTCTGTTTACTTCCTACACTTTATGTCAAGTCTTGAGCAAACAAGCTAAATCTAAATGCTAACATGACAAATCATTAAAACAGTGCTCCTGCGACTTATCACTTAACACTATCATTTACAGGGTGTGTCAAAGTGAGCTAGTAAGGGTTAAAACCTGACTGTGCTAACCTCAAAACTGACCTAAATAGAGCAGTTACCAGCAGCTCAGCAGTCGGCCCTTTACTGTAATTGCAGCGATGCATGTCTCACCCTAATGAGATTAACTATGTAACAGCTAACATAGGCCATGAAACTTTAATCCTGCAGCCGTGGTGTGAGCTACTGAGTAAGCAAAACAGTATGGGAACAAGACGCTAGTTTCAGTTGTGACAGAACCTTAAGCAAGGCCTGGGGTGGTTAGTTGGTTGGGGAAGCAATTGAAATTGAAAGCTTTTGCAAAACAATAGAGTACAGAGTCGTACACTTGTGCATCTATCAACACCAAACTATCATAGGCTGTGCATAAAACCTTGCAGGGTTTCTATATGAAGGTACCTCCTAATGAAACTAGTTGCACACAGGCTTCCAAAGCACCAAAACAGCAGGTCTTCTGATGTTCAAGTGAGATTTAGAGATGAAAAAGCAAATAGGCTATGTGGTGTCTGCAATGCTTATTTCTTAGAAGTAGAATCATAAGTTGAAAAAAGTCTTGTTTTTATTCTTTCCATCAACTAACTGCACACATAGAGCTGTGCAATTAATAAAAAAAAAAAACAGTTTCTATTTCAATTTTGACCTCCAACGATTATGAAAATACAATAATCAAGATAAAACGATTATTGTTCCCCATTCTTCCAGCGGTGTACTTTCGCTCCACCATAAAAACCCAAACTAATGTGACTTTTGCAAAATGGGACGTGTTTGAGTTTTTAAAGTTTATTAGATTTATTAATCTTTTTAAAAGTGCTGTTCCTCAGGATGCTTTCTGTGCATGTGTTCAGAGAAGGAACAGAACACAGACAAGTAAAAGACTTCAAGATGGCGGCGCGTTCACACGCTGCGGCTTCTCTCTCTCCCGACAGAAAGGTGTTTTCGTGTTTTTTGTCTTGTGAGTTGCAGTGTTTTTGTATGTACATGTGGAAGAATTGACAATAAAGCAGACTTGACTTGACTTGACTTGACTAAAATCAACTTTTAGCTTAAAGTGTGCACCTAAACAGTCAAAATACATGCAAAAAATGTGTCATTACTCACATTGGTGATTATTCAAGTAACCCCTCGTCAGTTATGTCTTAAAGGGTTAGTTCACCCAAAAATGAAAATTCTG